GCACCTCATTCTAATATATGAACTACGTGCCTATTACATTTCTGGAGGATTAAGTAAGCGGATGGTGAAGAAGTGTGTCCCAAAGTAGACTGAATAGAACCATATTCTTGTACTTGGCAACAGCAACCATATCGAGTTTTGCATTTTAATCCTATAGAAATTGCGTTAACAGCCTTTTTTATTTTAATATTATAAAATAAATTTTTAGTATGGAAGAATGTGAAGTACTTTGTTCATCGATTGCAATTATGGTAAATGGTTGTTTTCGTTGTCTTGATTCAACTCAACATCTGAAAAATCGTTTTGGTGATGGTTATACAATAAAAGTTTGTTTAAAGTCTTCATTGAATTCAACATTAGATCAAACAATTCTTGATTATTTTTCATCAAATTTTATCTTAAAAGAACGTCATATAAATATATTACAATATGAAGTAGCTGAAAAATATGTTTCATTAAAGATATTTTTTCTAAACTTCAAAATTTATTAATTAATCAATGTATAACTGATTATAGTGTATCACAAAATACACTTGATAATGTATTTGTAAATTTTGTACGTGATCAATTTGACGCATCACAACGAACAAAAAAAACATCTAGACGAAGACAAGAACATTTTAATGGTATTCTTGATGATGCATTTGATGATGGATCATTCGTTGTAACAAGATCAAGAAGAAATAACAACAATGATAATGTAAGTTTGGAAAGAATACCGACAACTACCGCTTGTAATTGTAAAATAAATACGAGTTCTCTCGAAGTATTGGATTGTTTGAAATTGTGATATAATTAGTTCACCTACGAGTCATTGTACTGTTGTTGATCACCATTATAATTATCTGACAGATTTATTTTATTTGAAACTTTTTAAAAATATATATATCTTTTTACAATGAAAAAAAATACATGTTTTTATTATATAAAATTCTCATACAGCGATTTTTCCTGTGATAATAAAGAAATTTCAAAAGAAATTTTTTCTTTCTTAACGAGATTCTTTTAAATTATTTGGTGAACGATTAAACAGTTCAATGACTCAATCAAATTCTTTTTGCACGTCTGCATTAGCGTTCACAATATATAGACTTTTTTTGCTTTGCTGCTTATTTTGCTATTGCTTCATTTTTTTTTAATAATCATTTTATTTTCTGTGCAATACTATGAGAATTTTTTTCCGGTGTGTATAGTGTTAATTTTTGTTGTTTCTCGAAGTCATTTGTTTTTTCTTCTCTTTTCATTCAATTCGTGGTGCCGATTGTGTATGTTTTCTTGGAAATTAATATTTCTCGTAATAAAAAAGGGTCTACTGCTCACTAGCCTGTTTCATATCAATCTTAAAACGATTGACAAATGCACGTAAAACGCTAAATTTGATGTCTAGACAAATAAATTTATTATTGTTTGGTTTTAGGATCAACAATGAATGGTCGATTATATCGAACTTGAATGTTAAAACGATCATTGATTTTATTTCGAGTTTCTTTTCTAGTCAGAAATAATTATTGGTGTTTTTTTTTCTTTCGTTCTCTCTATTGCTTTCGGTGATATGTGGCCTTGTGTTTTCTTTTTGTGATCTATGTAAATAAGAATAGTTAATAACGAACAATGAAGAAAAAACTAACCGTACGATTGACTATAAATAAATATATATTATTTCATGTTTATTGGTCCGTCGAATTTATACACGTTGTACATAATTTTAGATTTGATTAAAATGCAAACAGAACGAGTTATTGAGTATATAATAAATTGGCTTAATGATTATCATAAATCTAGCCATACAAAAGGTTTTGTTGTTGGTGTATCAGGTGGAATTGATTCAGCAACTGTATCAACATTATGTGCTCGTACTGGTTTTCCTGTACTTGTTATTGAAATGCCAATTCGACAATCATCAGGTGAAATGCAAAGAAGTCGAGCACACATTAATTGGCTTACATCAAAGTTCCCGAATGTAACAGGTGCTGAAGTTAATTTAATTGAAATTTTTGAAGCATTTGAAAAAACAATTAAAAAAAGTGAAGTTAATGAAGACAATTCTAATACAGAACTTGCATTTGCTAATGTGAGATCACGTTTACGAATGGTACGATTATTTCCTTTATATTTTGATTGATAACTTATTTAGGTCTATTTTTTTTAAAGGTTAATTTATATTATTTCGCTTCAATTAAAGGTTATCTTGTTGCCGGAACTGGAAATAAAGTTGAAGATTTTGGTGTTGGTTTCTTTACAAAATACGGTAAACATCAACAGAGAGAAAATTTTTCTGTAATTTTCTAAGTCTATATTTAATTTGAAGGTGATGGTGGCGTTGATATTAGTCCAATAGCTGATTTAATGAAATCTGAAGTACGTGCTGTTGCTGCTGTATTAGGTGTTGGACAAGAAATAATTAAGGCATCACCAACTGATGGTTTATATGGTGATACAAGAACAGATGAAGATCAACTTGGAGCTAGTTATGATGAACTTGAATGGGCTATGAATCATCTTGATTTAAGTGATACAAAAGAAGGAGAAGCTACATTAACTGATCGACAAAAAGAAGTTATAGATATTTATAAAAAGCGACATGCTGCTAATTTACATAAATTGGTTGAAATTCCACGTTGTATTATTCCACCGGAATTAAAAGCTAAACAATCATAATAATCAAGCAACTTAAATCTTTTGCCATGTACTACAAGAATAAAAAAGAAATTTTAAAAGATAGATTTCATTAATATATACGTTTTCGCATTCGTTTAATTTGAATTTCTTTCATCTTATAATGGTCTTCATTTTTTTCCCCGCATTAAAAAATATTCAGGCTTGTTAAGAGTGATTTCTCATTAACAAAAAGACAACTTTTATTATTCTATAACTTAGCTAACAATTATATTTTGTTCTTTCAAAATTATTCAATAAATTCAAATATATGTTGATATACTACTAAGATTAATTAACTTGTTCTGGAAATTTATCAGTTAATTTAGATAAAGTCATATGATGTAAATAAATCCTTGGTTTTTTTTTCAGATTTGTGGTTTGATTTCAAATATTCTTGTATATTGTATAGAATGATTATTTTACGCTTAAGCATTTTTGTTAGATCTTAGATGATTTGAACAATAATTAGAATTCAAAATTTGTGTCTGTTCATAGAAGCCTGTTATCGGCTACATATATATCAAATGAAAACAACAGATCGTGTTATGCTTCAATCAGTACCAGGAAATTCATTACTTACAGATTAGATTTGCACAAAAACTTGCGAAAACCTTCGTGTACCTTTATGAATAACCGTATGGCTCCATATCATAAAATAGATCGAATATATTTGAGTGTCTGATCTTATGTACCCATGTAACCATTTTTTTACTTTTGACGCGTCCCCGAGCGTTTGAGATTAATATAGCTTGACGCATCTGGGTGTGTCTAAAATGCAACATTTTCGAGGATGTAGACGAGTTTAAACTGCTCAAGTGTATCTACATGCGTACGAATCCTACACGCATCACAACTCATTTGTATCTATAGACACGTTTGAACGCGTCCAAAATGCAACATTTTTGGGCGTGTGAACCTGTCTTTTGACTTGATTGCGCTTGTGTATGGCTATGATTGGAGACGCGTATATTCGCAGAAACGGTACTGACTATGTGGCAACACCAGACCTAGATAAAATGCGTTTGAATGCGTCAGGATACTGCGACAACGTCTGAACTCAAACAGTGACAATAACGCGTTTTGATGCATGTGGTGGGATAGACGCGTACAAACGCGTTTGACCTATTTAAAAAAAAATGATCATCACTCTGTGTCGGGATCGAGCTGACGCACCATAGCGAACTATGATATAACCTCAAACACCATGAGCAACAGAGTGGTAAATTTTCCATCGACAGCTTGAAGCGAGATTTGAATCCATGACCATTTGATTGCCAACTAAACACAAGTAGCTCTGAGCTAGACACAGCTCGGTAATGTTATTATGTTTTTGAACGAAATGGATATGCCTTTTTAAGTCATTAGAATGAGAAAGCATATTCTGTCAATTTTAGACAAATGTTTATGATAATACTTTAATTAATGAAACCNTCTAGAATAACTATGATCTAACATATTTGGTTTTGAAGTGACTACTAACCTGAAAGATGCTGACTACTTTGATATTATACACGATTTGTGCTTTCAGTTCTATGAGAACTTCTATTCTCTATCTATGTGCAAAGATTTTTCTTTTATTTGCTACAATAATTCTTTTTGATATTAATAATGAACATTAATAAAATGTTCTTCTGATGATCGCCAGAAAAGTAATTACTTCTTCGTATCTATTTTAATGAAAAACTATTTCTTTCCTTAAATCGGCTTTTTCATTTCGAACGTCAGCGTTTCACCTATTGTTAAACAGATTTTATACAATAGAAGAGAATAGCTTCATAAAAACTTTATGCTTATGTATGAATATCTAACACTCAAAAGATATTTTCTTTCTCTTCAATTATTTAGAATAAAAAACATAGCATTAAGAAGTTTTCAGCGCTACTAGTTCTCCATAAAATGGTTTAGAACTTATATCGCAACGCTTGGCATTTTAAGTTTATACAATTGATCGTATTCAGATTAAATAAACACTTGTTCCTAAACTAAAAATAAGATACGGAATGTATGAAGTATCAAATCGTTCCATTCTTCAATCGTTAAAAAAATGCTAGTTTCTATGCACAATGCCATGGTTTGTTGCTTGATAGTATATACATCGGTGCGATAATATGAAGGGTAATAACTACTGGACATACTATCATTAATTTACAATCATCAAAATGATGATGAAATATTTTACTGATATCATTAGACCATCATATTATTTTCGCTTTGGAATGGTATCGTTCGATAGAACATTGGACTTTACATCGATTTGCTTAAGAACAAGTCTATTGAAAAACAAAAAAAACTATATGTATTTTTCCTTTATTATTTCATTGACGGTGGGTGGTAAGTGAGCTGCAAATTGTGTTCGGTTAGTTATCTAGTCAACCGGTAGATAATTACAAGTTTTAGTCAGCTTATGTAAATGTTCATGCATCCATTAATAACATTTAAAAAAAAACACTATATAATCACATATATTTTTTAAATTTCAAAAACATTGCTCATTTTGAAATTTCCTAGCAAGCTATTCTTCAGATACGATTTTGTAATATATCCGACCATTGCTTACAAGATTTCGTTTAAAAATAAAACAATATGAACTAACACTAATAGCATATTTAGAATCAGCACTTAAAGTTAAGTTGAACTATAAATGTTCTAGAATTCTTTTGCAATTTTTTGTCGTTAAAAATAAAATTCTTGTAGTTCTCCTCAAGATCCGAAGCAAAAAATATGTTTACTTCAAATTATTTTCATTGATTAGTCTAAGCCATTATTTTTTCTATATTTGAGATATAAACACTTGTCTTGAGAAACCCATATAAGTTTCCTCATTGAAATCTCCGAGAACTATCCAAAGATCTTCTCTTCTAAGACTTACCTGGTCGATTGAAATCTTTTGAAATATAATATAGTCAAGACTAAGTCGTATGTGCATGTTCGACTGTTCTTGAGTTGAAACCATTTACACTGAATTGTTGCTCAATAAAAGAATATCTCAAAACATTTAAAATGAGCAAATATCAGGTTCTCAAGATTAACTTTAAAATAACTCTTCTGCAACTTCTAACATATCATCTGATGCAGCTCAGGCTGGTTTCACCCTTTAGAGAGGATTGTTCAACAGTTGAAGAAAATAGATTCTTCCAGTTTCGTGAATCCTAAAATTTAAAAAAATGTATGGTCAGTCCTCGTTTTCAATGGAAATTATCATAGTAAAGTTACTACAATAGTTTCTCTACATATTAGGAATTTTCATTTCTCAATTGTTCAACAATGCTGAAGATAAATTCTACTAGATATCGATAAAACTTGTTTTGTTTTAAACTATGTAACATAATAAACAATTAATTACTTTTATCAAAAATCATTAACGAATGTTGTCGTACATAACTAGGTTCTATAAAAATTTCCACATCAAAGCTTAATATAAGTTCATCTAATTGATGTTCAATAAGATAAAATTAACTTTCAGTTAATGGTTCAATTGATCTACATCGTGTAAGTATAAGTGATTTAAGATTTGGAAAAAGAAGAATTTCTTTATGATTAAATAACCATTAATAAATAAAATCCCAAACAATTGAATTTGTTTCATCAAAATGAATACGTTGAATAGAAGATGAAAGACATGATGAATTTAAAATCAATGAAAATAATATTGAATAAAACTTATTATAAGATGAATCTAATGTAATAACAAGACCAGTGTCCAATTGATTATCATTTATTGAAAGAGTTGAACACACAAGAGAATTGAAACGAATGTTTAAGGACTACAAAGACGTTAATAAATCAATTCATGACAGATGAGAATATATATATAAAAGAATTTCATTTGGTAGTGTTTCTATTGTAGTTTTGCGAAGTCATTTGATCTAAAAATAAACATTATGTTATGTTTTTCTTTTTTTCATTTTGAATCACTTTTAATCACCTATTAAATGACTAATTTAAAAAAAACTGAAAAAATAAAATCAAATGCATGTTGAAATACTTCATGAATATGATTCAAATTCAAAAAACAGTGTTTATTTAAATTAATACATTATTTTAAAAGTAAATATTTGATTCATGCGAATGTTTTACAACTATCTGCAATCAATAATCTCACTTATTTACATTCATTAATTCAGCTTTTCACATAATGATACTATTGTGTCTCCTATTAAAAACAGTAAATTATTGATATATGTTGTTTAACTCACTGTGAACCAAAACTGTATATTGAAGTTTAAAAATTCCATTGTTTATTCTAACATACTATGTATATTTGATATTTATTCGTTTGTTTAACGGTAATAAGTTACAAGACAAACAATTTTATGCTTTCTTGCTAGTGTTATATGCCAACAAATAAATTATTTGATATAGATAGCAATAAAAAAAGCAAACGAAAAAATATTCAACTTAATCTTACGATATTTTAATGAATATATTTCAAAATTTTAATATCTAGAAGAATCTTTTCTGTTGTATGTTAAATAATTGCACGAAATCAATTGACATTTAAATATAAAACTAAAGCAAATTGACTTGTTTTTGTTTATGCTATAGAAGAATGATAATTAATAAAATTCTTCAATTTAATGTTAATGTTACGTTTTCAAAATTCAATACACTTCAATATTAATTTCTATTCTATTTATCAATATAACAGTTTTTAATTCTTTAGCCTTTTATTTTTTAAAATAGGATAAAATTTTCTCTCTACAACTAAAGACCATTTTTGTAATTAATAGAGACTCATAACAAATTTATTACTGTTCAATACATCTAGAATAAAAGCATTGTCGAAGTAAAAATCTAAAACCTAGAGTCAATGACAAAAAATATGAACTATAACGAAACTACAATAATGAGCGACAGATATGCCTACAAAAGACTGATATATAAAGATGCTGCGAAATTGAATTTCACAGGTAGAAGAGTTACCTTCAACGTGCTCTTTCCGAATTATACTCTGATCTGTTTAAACCTCATTCACATGAGAGATCTGTTTCTTGCATTTA